TCTCCACGCAGAAAGTTAATATAGTCTGTGATGCAGTAGTGAGGCTGTCATATCCTCCCAATGAGGAGAACAGAGTTCTTCCCACACAGTTGAGTCAAAACAGTCCTTCAGAGCTTCTTCAGTCTCCTCGACCATCTTCTCACTGTGCGGGTCACAGCTGGTTGCTGTGCACAGGGTTTCTACCGGCAGGAACTTTTTAGGACTGAAGTAAACCTGAAGGTGGTCCCTCTGCTAAACACCACATGGAGCGACCCAAAAGCCCAAACTGAAAGTTTCGAGCCCCACAGACCCGATGAGGGACCACAGAGTCCAGCGTCGCCTGACTCTTGGATCTGAGGTCGACCTTCATTAGTTCTTCATCACACATGTGTTTGTGTGTTTGTGTCTATACCATAAAAACAACATCCAGCATCACGACCCGGTCTGCCTCTGAGCCACAGCCGCCCCATAAGGTTGGATAACACTTGTCCTGTGGGCATGCATAGGGGATAGCGGCACAGTTGCAAACATGTATGACTTGGTGGTTTAACAAGACCATCATCAGAGGTTTGACAGCTATTGTGTGCTCACTAGGAAAATGTCTAGGAGCAAGGCACTGGACACTTCAAAATTGCTTAGAACGCCATCAAGATCAATAAACAAGTCAATTTATCCCCTCATGGTGCTTATCATTACATGTGCTGGAAGAAATGGTATGTATCTGGAAAATGCTCATTAGACTGTAGCAGCCTGTGGCACCACTGCTGTTCCTACAGTAGAGCTTGAATTTAGCCTGCTGTTATTTTCAGTTGTTACAACCCCACAATACACTAGTGGTAGCCAAATTTGGAAATACCATAAACACACATTTGGGCAGTGCTCTGAACATTATTTCAAAAATATACAAATATATAATTTTTATTTAATCAGGTTATCAGCTAATCTTAGGCTGTATGTGCTTTTGATCTCAATGAAAGACAATCACATATTTAAATATATATAACCTTAAAAACCTTTAACCTTTAAATCTTGATCCCTTTTTTCCCCTTAAATTTTTGCACACCTTTAAAGTTATATTTCCTACTATATACTCACTTTACGAAGACGTGATACGGTTGAAAGTTCTGGATAACACTAAGTAGAGCGAAAGTTGGGAATTCTCAAACTGACATATACAGAATGTTTGGAAACTTTAAGGTGTCTACAAGAATTCAAAATAAAGTTTTGGTAATGCTTTGCTGCACATAATGAGTGTGTATGGTGGACACACTTGTGGTTCCAGCAGAGTTAAAGTGGTAAATAATTTGTCGTAAAATATTATATTCCTTTAAAGAAACTGCAGACACTCTGGAAACTGAAATAATTTAAATGTATCTACTTTCCTGCTCTTAAGTGCAAAATTGCCATGTTGTTTCTATACAAGGAAACCCCACAAGCCTGTCTGTGAAATGTTTGCCCCACACACAAGGGACAGCAACACAGAAAAACACTATCATTCTCCACAGAGAAGCCCCACTTACTGTCAGCTCTAAACACCCTCTCATTAGCTTTTCAATACAGGCTAATTGGCCTTGAGTTGTGTGGCAAACAGCAGCCAGCAGCCTCCACGCCCCAGACATACTGCTGCCATTGGTGCTGCCGCTGGCTCTGTCCCTGCTAATACACAGCTATATGTTAACAGCTAACAGAGAGAGGCAGGCCTGCTTGTAAGGCTGCTGGTTACATTTGGCCTTAGTTACCAGCTCACATGCTGACAAAGCAGCAAACACATACCACACTCACACACATAATGAGGAGCTGTCAGAGGCAACATAATAATGTACAGCAGCAGACTGAAAATAGTAGACTGAAACCATGACTCACAGCACAGACAGAGACAACAAGACAACGGTAAACACAAATAGGGAGGCTCCAATCTTTGTGCTTTAAATGCATTAATGAGAAACCAAAAAAACTAAAACAACTGTATAATACGTGATACATAACTCCCTGATCCTAATGGCTGTCACCACCAAAATCTTCATATCTAGCCCCACACTGAAAGAAAAATCCATATTGTGCATCACTACTGTAAACTACTGTAGCTTACTAGTAGTAGTGATACTATTTTCACTCCCACCAGATAGAGCAGGCTGTAATTATAAAAGTAAGACAGGAAGCAGTGTTTTGCTGCTGCGGCTGCGTAGCTCTACTAGTTCTACTATAGCAATAGCAGTTCTATTATTATGTAGTACTAAACATCACAATGCACAAGTGGAGGAAGGAATTTCTGTATTTTCTATTTACAACTACCATAGTGATGAATACCACAATCTGGGACCATGGTTACTTTATAGTAGGGATGCATGATATGGATTTTTGCAATAACTGATAAGATAGGATAACCTTTATTGATCCCAGACTGGGGAAATTCACAAATTGACTAATTACCTGCTTCCCATGGTTGATACCAATAAGCAGTGACGGCTGGTGGTGATTTTGGGTGGGTGGGCTAACAAATGCATTACACTCATCCCATACGTCACACAAGCGCAACAGCAGCAAAGTAGCATCACATCAAGTTACAGCAACAACACTGAATAAGTTTGATTATACAAAACAATTTACAGAGTGAGCGTGTGTACACAGTATGCCATGGTGAGTTCCATTACACGTATACTGGATAAAACTACACTGTGACTGAGACTGTGATAGAGTATAATCCAGTATAGATTTGGAAGATTTAACAGTAGCATTAGGAATGAGATCTCAAGTTAATTCTGATTCGTTAATTCGCAAATATGACAAAATGTTATTTTCATAAAAGTTGCTGATGGTGATGCTTTGTCCCATTCAAGTCTCTCAGCTTCATGGTAATACAATACTACATTGCTAGAGTACTTCATTATTATAAAAATCTTGAGTCT